AAGTGCGTCATGGAACATTCCAAACATTCTCCTCCCTTCAGCTTTTAATCAAAGCACACGTTCCACATTACTAGTCCACACAAAACACAGCATTTAGACCACACAGCATTAGCTTCATATTCTCTTAAAAGTGTTCAATAATAGTGATGTGGTAACTATTTGTCTTAATTTAAACATGCTTTGATAGGATTTTGCAATTTTTTTTGCATATGTTAGGTTTTTAAAAAACACCAAAAATGGTAAGGGGGAAAGAGAAGAGATTTCAAAACACTACAAGCATTACAAGAATTGTAACGCCTTCATAAAAGTCACACTTTTATCTGGTGGGGTAAGAAGAAAAAGAAAATCCATGCAACATTTTGTGGGAAATTCCTCACAAGTGATGTAATGATCTGTTTCAATACAATTAATGTCCTTGCATTGGGCTAAGCTCATCTCCCTTTACCTTTTTTTCTTTGAGCCAGTTTACCCCCCCAGCGACTTTAAAGCTCACCTTAAGGCCTTTTCTCGACAATATTTTCAGTCACCTTCCCCCTAAACTTTCCTCCGCTACGTCCCACTCCAGTCAGCTCCGAAACATCCTTCCAACATGAAAGGTGCTACATAAAGGTACATTCTTGTTGTTGTAATATTCCTTTAAAGTGTTATTAGCTTCTAGAGGTAACGCTTATATTTATATTGTAAGAGTAACTAAATTGGGTAAATAGTTTCAGTGATGCACTGTATTGGTGTGTTACACAAATGTGGGGAGTAAGGCTGTTTTATACAGGCTCTTTCCAATGAAGTAAAGACTTTGGGCATCCCCACTCCTGCTGCACTGGATAACACTCGTACAAGTACAGGGACTGGCTCTAATGCTGTTGATTTACCAAGTATATTAAGAAGCAACTATTACAATTTCAGTGCAATGATATTATGAACCCAGTGTCCAGCAGAGTTTCCATTACAAGTCTCCAGATGGTGCATTAGTATTTTGATTAGTTCCTCAAAGAGAGTGACAAATAAGATCCTCCAATGGCCTAATGGGCAAATGCCTGGTGAGCATAGGCACATGCAGACTTGAATGCAGCAGGTTTGAATGCCAATCTGTGTTGAGTTAGTTCAGTCACAGCAGTATGTGAGATGCTATAATTGATCCCAGTACCCCTAGGATTTGGGAAGTGGGAAATTCAGCCAAAATTCCTGATCATTGTTCCGAGGCTTCTGCTACACGATGCACGTTTATGGGCATCAAGTAAAACTGGATCATAATCAATTAGGTACCAACACTTAACTGTCAGAGCTCGTCTATGAATAATAATTTTTCAGGCAGGGTATCAGAGGGCAATCAGCAGCATACCATATGTCAATGAAAGAAAAAGTTCAATAGCTCAGACAGAAACCAGAGAAAACTGGAGGGAAAAAGTGATAAATTTACAACACCTCAGCAAACACCGGTAATCCTACAAATCTAGCCACTCCCTTCGCTATGCTTCAAGCCCCCTACCAACTTCGCTCCACTATTGGTGGGTAGGCTTTCAGCCACTTTACAGTAAGTACGTTGCACAATTTGCTTCCATAAATTATCCAACACATTTCCATTCAGCTCCTGTTAACCCTGCAAGCCAAAGTCACCCACAAAATATACATTCAATTCACTTTTCAGTATATTGTGTGAAGCGTTTTGAGACATCTCAAAGACATGGTAAGGCACTATATCAAATGCAAGGATTATTATAAGTCCTAACCGGTAGGGTGGTCCTAGCTGGGCAAACAGCAGGAAAACCTGCCAGTGCTATCAATGCTAAACTATGAGTTTTTAGCTGGTTAGACTTCAGTAGTACCCCAACACAAACTCTGGGGTCCCCAAGCCTTGGCTCTTGCCAACCTGCCCTTAACACTTTCTGGAATTAGGTAAGCAATGGTCCCTTCAGGGAGAGAGAGTGCGCATTCCATTCCAACAATCTCTCTCTGGAATTTCCATGTGTAGGTCAGGATGCATGAAATTCACAATTTGGTTTGGATACTCTTAAGCATGGTTATGGGTTTTTCGCATGTGTCAGTCACCCGGCTGGCCAAAATAAAAAAAATAATTTGCATATTTTTCTAGTTAATACAACTTTATTTTCAAATTATTACACACGAGTCAGTAAATTCATCACTTCACAATCCTATAGGTCGATCTGTTGATATTGGTACTTTCCACTTCTATTCTTTCAACTGTTATTTCATAAAACACACAAGCTGTTTCAGTGAAATCCTTCACATCATCTGAAACCAAATAATACTCAAATCTGACACCTTCAGTTTCCATACAAGAAATGTAAAGGAAGATGCCAAAACAGCTCAATAGTTTCACAAAACGACAGCTAAAGAATGGAAACCATAACATGAATATTTAGCTGGGCTTATGGACTGCAGCAAATATATTGCCAATACAGGGCAACTCCACTACAATAGTCCTCCCTGTAACTTGATTGGATTGTGCATCCAAACACGTTTTAAGTAAAAAATCAAATTCACTATCCACACACTGTCACAATAAAAAAATGACCAATGGTCATCAGGTTGCCACTAATGTCACTTCCGGTATGATGCGCAGGCAAGCTATCTGCAAGAAGGTGACATCAGCAGCACCCAGTATACCAAGTGCATGCACATCACACAGGAAGTGGCATTAGCAGCACTACTTCTACATATTGAAGTTACCTAACAACCAAAACGGGCCAGTTTAGAATATGGAGCCAGACAACCATGGAGTTGTCCTCTGGAAAGTCGTAGCTAAAATTGTCTCACCTCTCAGAGGTTTGGGATGAACCTGTTTCCGACGTGGCATGTTCCAGCCTCAAGAGATTAGAGACGGAGGAGAGGTATGGCGGAGAAGCCGCCAGCCACAGACCAAACACCATCAAATAACTGGAAGGAAAAAAAAATGTTGTTTTCAAAACGTATATAAAGAAACCTCTTTCATAAAAAAAAATGTAAAAGGCAAAAAAACTGAGATTAGCTTCAGTTTGGTTAAATTTAATGAAATAGTGTCAAACTGCTGAGATTTCGAGTTAAAATAATACCATTCGTTATATTTGGCATAATCATGTTTGCAAATGACCGACATCGGATGTCCCAGAGCGCTTCACAAGATGTACTGCAAAGTGTAGTGACTGTGTGTTTTGTGGGTAAAAGCAGCAGCTAATTTGTACACAACAATGTCCCACAAACAGCCATAAGTGAATGACCAATTATATTGGGGAATTATTAATTGAGAAATTATTTTTTCTTTTTTAAATAGTGCCACGGGATCTTTAATGTCCACCTGAACAGGCAGACAAATTGAGAGAAATTCGGGAAAATTCCAAATACATTAGAGATAGATCTGAGTTCAGCACTCTCATCCATATCAATAAATGTTAGTCCAAGCCCCTCGCGACGACTTGAGCTCAAGTATAAGATGGCATTCCAGTTCAGTAATGGGGAGCTGAAATGTTAGAAGTGCCTTCTGGCAGATGAGATATTAAACTGAAGCCGTCTTCATGTTCTGTAGAAGGACGATAAAGGTCCCACAAAAACTTCAAAAAACAAAAAGGAATTCCTAACATGACCAGGCAAAAAATTCTCCAAATAAATTAGTCATTCACCTTATGACAGTGGGACCTTGATGGCGCAAATGGCATTTTTGTTTGTTGACCTGTTTGTTACTGCCGGGCTGTGTCCCAGTGCGCTTAACAATGGTGGAGTCCAATGCCAAGCCAGGGGGAGGACGAAGGTCTAGATAAACCATCACAAGAAGCATCCAAAGCCAGATATAGATTTGCTGGTGGCCAAACTAAAGGTGGCACTAGAATAGGTACTTTTAGCTAAACTAAAGAGCGAGGACATTTAACTTTATAAACATAAGATGGCCTCTGGATTGCAACATCAGGCTAAGTTTTTATAGATGAAGAGAAATGGCTATCTGAGATTAAGGAGCATGTGGATATATTTAAGTACTTTGGGATATCCTCCCAATGTGAATACTGCTATACAAATGTAAATTTGATTTGTATATTCTGTGCAATCACTACTAATGATTATTTTGGTTTTGAAAATCAAGTTCCCCAGCTTAGCTACCTCCACAGAGAAAGAACACAGAGAAAGGAGGAATGGTTACAGAGATGAGGAGTGAAGGGGGGCAGTCAGAGGGGAGTGGAGGATGAAGGAAGAATGGTCAGGGGCCAGGAGAGGGGCCATCAGCAGCAGTGGGTGGGGTGGGCAGGAGCCAAGAAGGAGGTTGCAGTGGTCACAGTGGGGCGAGGGTGGAGTGTGGTATTAGCCCTCCCTCTCTCTGGTGCTTGTCTGGGGGCTGGGATTTCCTTGATCTTCCTGATTGGTGTCCAGGCTCTGGGCTCTGTTATTACACTCTCTCTGTCAGTCTGTCTGCCCTTTGTTGTTGTCCAGTATCTGAGCTCTGCTATTGCTTTCTCTCACTGATTGTCATCCAATGTCTGGGGACTGATATTACCTATTTCTCACTGGTCGTTGTGCAGTATCTGAGCTCTGTTATTTCCTGTCTCTCTGTTCTGTCCAGTGCCTAAGATGTAGTATCACCTTTCTCTCTGATGGTTGTCCAGTGTCTAGGCTGTCCTATTACCTCTCTCTGGGTGATGTCCAATGTCCAGGTTGTGCTATCACCTCTCTCTCTGTCTTGAGTCAGAAGGTTGTGGGCTCAAGCCATATGTCGAGGCGGGGCCTTGGACGAGACGTTAAATCAAAATCCTGTCTGTGCCTGTTCAGGTGGATGTTAAAGACCCAATGGAACTATTCATGAAGAGAAGGAAGTTTATCTCCGTGTTCTGGCCAATAATTAAATTGGTTATTCATTTCATGGCTGTTTGTGGGACATTGCACATTGGTTGCTGCATTGGTCTAAAAATACACAGGCACTAATTACACTGCACAGTTAACTCCTGTGTAGGTTAGTATTCCCTGCTGTTTTATAATAATAATAATAAAAATAATCCTTGCATTTGCTATAGCGCCTTACCACATCTTCGAATCATCTCAAAACGCTTCACAGAATGGCTTTAGGCATGCTATTTCCCTGCCAGTCGAAGGAGCCTGTCCTCTATTTGCACACCAGAAGCCTTTTCTGAATTCCACGGAACTGAAACAAAAATGTAAACTCCTAAATTGTCAAAACACTCAGCCATTCACAAACGTAGGTAATCATGTCTACTTTTACTTCAACATAAAAGAATCAATGTGATCAAAATAAATTCTGTAGTTCAAGACAATCCATCTGAATTGAGCAACAAATAATAGCCAAGAAGGACTTAGGATATAATAAGCTCCACTGATACCTAATTTGGTTAAAGCAGCTGTGTGAAATTCAGGCAGACAGATCAGGAAAGTCCCAGTCAGCTTCAATTCCTCCAGCTGTGCTGATTTAACTCTTCTCAGCCAGGGCAGCAGTTGGGGCTCTACGGTTGAACTCAGTAACTGGGAAGGAAAAGAACCAGCCAGAGTTTTGCCTGCCAGAGACTCCTGTTGGAAAGGCTGTGAAGTACATATGTGGATATTATGGATGGACAGAATTGGACTTAATAATAATAAGCCTTGCATTTGATATAATGCCTTATCACGTTGTCAAGACATCTCGAAGGGCTTCGCAGTATATACTGTAAAGTGAATTGTCGGGTGGCAGCAATAACCAAAACACAAGGCAAGGAGAGTATGAGAGCAACAGTCAGAATATAAACAGTGATAAAGATAACATAAATACTACAGGAAGAAAAAAGATAATAGGAAGTTATTAAAAAGGTTTAATTAGTCAAAATGTGTGAGAAGAACATCGTCAAGGCATATAGGCATGTTGGGGACAGTTACCCAAATAAGAGTTATGTATACAAATGCACGTAGCATAAGAAAAAAAACAAGTGAGTTAGAAACACACATTCATCTTAAAAGGTATGATGTAGCAGCCATTACAGAGACCTGGTTACAAGCTGGACAGGACTGGGAGCTAAATATTCCAGCCTATAAGATCTTTAGAAAAGACAGGGATATTGGGAAAGGAGGAGGAGTAGCAATATTGATAAAAGACACTATTACAGCAGTGGAAAGGAAAGATTTCAGTAAGAACGATCAGGTCATGGGAACACTGTAGGTAGAATTAAGGAACAGTAGAAGTGGTAAGACTCTGTTGGGCTTAGTCTACAGACTCCAAAGAGTTGTGATGTAGTGGGGAAATGTATAAATATGGAGATCAGGGAAGCATGTAGCAAAAGAAATGTGGTTATAATGGGAGATTTTAATTTTCACATACAACAAGATTACACTTGTATAGCGCTTTTCATGTCGGGAGGACGTCCCAAGGCTGGATAGTGTACAGCATTTCATACCCGAGCTGGGGTCAGGGAGGGGGAAGAGGAGGGTCTTGAGGTGGGACTTACCTACCTACCTACCTACCTACCTGCCCGTACCCTCCGTTCCTCTGGCTCCGGTCTGCTCCACATCCCCCGCCCCAACCGCCCTACCATCGGTGGCCGGGCTTTCAGCCTCTCAGCCCCGAGGCTCTGGAACTCTATCCCCCAGTGCCTTTGCCTTGCTTCCTCCCTTTCCTCCTTCAAGGCCGGTCTCAAGACCTTTCTCTTTGACCGTGCCTTCAGCTCTCCTCTCGATCTCTACCCCCTCCTCGCTCCCTCCCTTCCCTCCCCTAATCCTGACCATTTCCCCCCTGCTCGGGTCCTGACCCAACTGTACAGCGCCTTGGGACGTCCTCCCGACGTGAAAGGCGCTCAATAAATGGAATCTTGTTGTTGTTGTTGTTGAAGGAGGCTAAGGCGGGTGTGAGGTGGAGTGATTGGGGGATGGAATTCCAGAGGTTAGGGGCAGAGTGGTTGAAGGATCTCTCGCCAATGGTGGGGCGGGTGGATCGGGGGACGTGGAGCAGGCCGGAGCCAGCTGAGCAGAGGGAGCGGGCGGGTTAATAAGGGGTTAGGAGGTCACAGAGGTAGGGTGGGGCGAGGCCATGAAGGTGAGGACCAGGATTTTGAACTGGATCCTCTGAAGGATAGGGAGTCAATAGAGTCGGGCGAGAATGGGGGAGATGGGGTCATGGAGTTTGGTGCAGGAGAGGACACGGGCTGCAGAGTTCTGGACTATCTGCAGCCTGTAGAGGGAGGAGTTGGGAAGGCCGACAAGAAGGGCATTTGCATAGTCGAGCCTGGAGGTGATGAAGGCATGAACAAGAGTTTCAGCGGCCTGAGGGGTGAGATAGTGGCAGAGTCGGGCAATGTTAAGGAGGTGAGGGAAGGCAGAACGGGTCATGGCTTGGATGTGGGGAAGAAAAGACAGTTGAGGGTCGAACAAGATACCCAGGTTCCTGACTGGCTTGGTAAGTTGTAGTGTGCAACCATGAAGGTTGATGCTGCCAGAGCCTGACTGGGAGAAGCAGGACACCTCAAGTAGTGAAAGCAAGACATTTCTAGAATGAATTCAGGAGAGTTTTCTGGCACAATATGTTTTACAATCAACAAGGGAACAGGCCATACTGGATTTGGTGACGAGTAATGAGCCAGAACTAGTTAACAATCTTGCAATCTTGTAAGGGAACATCTTGCAAATAATGATCATAATATGACTGAATTTGACACTGGATTTGATAGGGAGAAGGGAGAGTCCCAAACCAAGGTTTTAAATTTGAGTAAGGCAAACTTCGATGGGATGAGAAATAAATTGACCACAGTAAACTGGGCTGAACTTACCTACAGACGAACAATGGGATGTATTCAAATAAGTATTTGATACAACACAGAACAAGTACGTATCCCTAAAATGCCAAAGCTCCAATTGTGTAGTTAAGCAACAGTGGTTGGTAAACGAGGTTAGAGACTGTATTAAGCTAAAAGAAAAGGCTTACTCAAATGCAAAAAAAGTGGGAATGTAGAGGACTGGGAGAACTACAAAAGGCAACAAAGGAATACAAAGAAAGTAATGAGGAGCAAAAAGTGAACATGAAAAAAACTTTGCCTGAACTTATACTGATACACACTTCCACCAATGCTGGCTGCCCTCCAGTATCTCACCCTAGTGACTAACAGGCTGGATAGTTAGTGCAACAGTCCTCAAGACTTCTTTTTTCAATTGTTCTGTGGGTCTGTGTATAGTTAGGTGTTCATTTTATATTAAACATATCGTGTATTTACACGATAGTAATTTGATGAAATAAGTGAATGAGCTATTCAAAGCAAGCAATTATACAAGTTCAAATATTTCATCAAATTATTTCAACATGAGTGAAAATAAAGGTTTTGAATTTTACATCCATTTGATGTAAAATGCAAAACACAGAATGCAAGTGTTACATGGCACTGACACTTGGAAAATAACTAGATAAAGAATTGATGTTAACATTAATAACTTGATAAAGTTTATAATTAACAACAACAATAAAATTACATTTGTGTAGCACCTTCCATGTCGGGAGGACGTCCCATTTTTAATTTGATAGAATATATAAAACACAATCATTATTCTAATATTATTATGATAATCATTATAATATCCATCACATCACTGAAGATGCTAAGAATTGGATTACAAAGAGTTAACTGTTCAACTCACCTTCCACAGGGCCACCTAATGGCTGAGGAAAAGGAACAGCTTTTGAACCCTTGGATATGAAATACCAATGGAATTTCACTTATGGAAATCTTGGTCCAGATATGAATTGATACAAGTGAACCCCAAATTGAAACAGTTTTGCACATATGCAACATTGGTTATAAATAATATTCAATAGAGAAACGAGATAAAAGAATAAGTATGGGATGTTTTTATATCTCTGAAATTGACTGTTTATTGATGAAATTCTAGGGACCAAAATAAATTGCAGTTTTTGATACTGCCTACCAACCTGCCCACTCCCTCTGCTCATCAGCCTCCGATCTGCTCCATGTCTCCAGCCCGACCCGCCCTACCATCGGTTGCCGGGCTTTCAGCCTCTCTGCTCCCGCACTCTGGAACTCCATCCCACGGTCCCTTCGCCTTGCTTCCTCCCTTGCCTCCTTCAAGGCCGGTCTTGAAGGATGCAAGACCCTTCTCTTCGATCATGCCTTTGGTCTCCCTCCCACCTCTCTGCCTTCCCTCACCCCTACACCACCCCTCCCCCATGCTCAGGCCCCGACATCGGACTGTTCAGCGCTTTGGGATGTCCTCCCAATGTGAAAGGCGCTCTATAAATGTCATTTTGTTGTTGTTGTTGTTCCCACCAACTGGCCCAATTCAACAAGCCAAGAAAAAAATGCTGCTAAAATCAATGCAACCTTGAGGATTTTGAAGGTCATAAAGGAAAACAATGTGCAGTATGTAGGAGCTGCTTATTATTATATTACGTATATTACCTTTTCAAGGTCAATTACTGATGCCTTCATCTTCCAAATTGAATTGAGGTCATTAACATTCAAACATCAATATCAACATTGAATATAACTGATATGGTACAGTAAAGAGTTGGGCCACTTTGTCTTTCTCAGATTTGCCCCGAATATGAACATTCTTGTGACTGTCTATCTGTGTATGTACATAAATTCAGAATGTATGCATGTTTGCATTTATGTAATTTATGCAACTATGTGTATGTATCTAGGTGCAAGTATGTATCTACTTAAAAATGTACATGCA